TAAGCGGGTAAAGTATACAATCGTACAACACGAACCATGATCCTCCAACATTCACTGCTTGGAGTGATCTTCGATAGTGGATGGATGGTCATTGTCACGGAATAAACGAAAAAACAAAAAGGAATATGAATCTCAGAAAATGGGTATTCTGGGTTGTTCTTTGAGGAGAATGTATATATATAGAATTATAGGTAGAAAGAATACATCTATTAATAGAATATAAATTAGGCATATGATTTCTCAATTCTAATTAGGGTATACGAATATGAATTAGGTATGAATCACAATTTTAATTTTTTCAATCAATTGAAGAAAGCATATTGGTATTAATCAACCCTAATTTCGGGTAAAAATTAGGGAAAATTGGGGTACCGAAGAAGAAAATGGAAAGCCGTATCAGCGTGAAGATTTGCAAGAAACGCAGCGTGAAGATTTAGGGAAATTTCCTTTTCAGTCGGGGAAGAATAAGTCGGGAGAGAATCCCTAATTCGGGTCGAAGTTGTTCTTTCCTTCCGTGACCCAACGCAGCGAGGAATTTCCTTTTCAGCGTGAAGATTGGAAAGAAACGCAGCGTGAAGATTGGGAAATTTCCTTTTCAGTCGGGGAAGAAGAAGTCGGGAGAGAATCCCTAATTCGGGTCGGAGTTGTTCGACGAAGGAGAGCATCGCCAATATTAAGACGCGTGTCATCTGATGTGTCTTCAAATTAAGAGCCTTCACTTGCCACGTGTCATCATTTTAGGCTATCAACTCTCAAATATTATATTAAAGGATATATATATATATATATATATATATATATATATATATATATATATATATATTTTAACTTTGCATTAGTATAATATTGTTTGTTTATATATCTATTTGTACAAATTCAAAATAAATATTGGTGCACAATATAAATGTACAAAGTGGTATGATGTAGAAAAAAGAATTTCATCGGTCTTAGAGTTGAATGGACACTTCAGCTTTCTAGAGTTTAGCAAATGTTAATAAATGATTATAAGCAATAGGGTTATTTTAGGTGGAACGGTCACTCCGGGCATCCTCACACGTACCCCCGTCTAACATAATTGTGAATGGAGTAAATTGTGGTATGATAGATTTTAATTTATCTGGTCCTTAGAGGTATCGCCTTATATCCGGTGTACACAAGGAGCTATTACAAATAATATAACTTCCACACTGTCGCTACCGAATTTCAAACCATTTAGAGGTTCCACATTAGTAGGGATAGTTTTTTATTAAATTATCTAGCCCAAATCTTTTTTCCCTTATTGTTTTGCAAAAAAGGAATTGTAAATCACTGATTCAAAAAAATAAATTTATATTTGGTACGGAGTATAATTCAATTGGTCGGGGTTTAGGATTATTTTTCTCTCTTCCCTCGATAAGTTTTGTTAATTTGTATGTTTTCATTGATTATTTGATAAAATAAAATATTCTTGTCACATCTTGTTTTGTAGAACTTTTGACGTAATTTTCAATATCTAATTTTTATTTTTTATTGATATATTAATTTGTAAATAAAAATATAGTTTCAAAAGATGAAAATTTTTGACTTAACTCTTAATTTGTAATCAAATTTGAGACTCATGGAATATATAGAACATAATTGAATGAAACTTTTATTTTAGAAATAATTTTAAGAAGGTGAAGAATTAATTATATTGTGAAACACAAAAAGCATTTCATATTCTTTTCCCCTTTCTTTTTTTGTGTGAAGTGCATGTGTAGGGAGGCGAAAAGGTCGTCCCAACTCCCACACACAAGATTATTATTGGCAAGTGAGGTTGGCACTCAAAAATGGTCAAATTTGAGATGGGATTATTAATTATTAATTATTATTATTATTGCGTGAATTAAAATCCTTTTCGGTGGAGGTAATTATAAAACTTATAAGTGGCGGAACCATAAGTATTAGGGACAGCCGTTGGTTTCTAGTGTTTTTTTTAAGATAATTTTTACGGTTGTTCTTGTGAAATATGATGTAGCACTTGTTGAAAAGTTAGAGAAGTATTTAAAAAAGAGTTTGTGAGATGTAATGTAAATTTATTGTCAATCACATATATTTATAATTATTTTAATCAAATGAATGCATGTTTAGTTATTTTTTATTTTAAATAATCTCGAAAAATAAATTAAACGTTCAGTCTTAGATTATACGGAGTACTTCTTCCGTCCCGCAGTAGATGTCATGCTGCCATTTACATTTTTGTCCTTTTACATTAATTATTCAAACATTTATTTATTCACTAAGGTTCCCATGACAATGGGTTCCAATGTCATAGATGATCCGAGGGCATTACGGTGCCCTATTAGCATCAATGCCTTTAGCTTTTCAACATTATTTAAGTTAAAATAAAATTCAAAATTAAGTTATGAATTAACTTTTCAACATTATTTAAGTTAATACTTATTTGGAAAATGAATTATTTCACATACTTGTTATATTTAATCATATTTTTAAAACATTGAATTTTATGAGTGCTTTAATTGGTCTCATATTAATGTATATGGAGTATATTCCTAATAAAATCAGATGAGTTTATATTTATTCCTAATTTGTCATTGCAATAGCACTTTGGGTTGATATTTGTTATTGATCTAATATATAATATAATGACATGTTTATAACTAAATTGTTATAACGTCTTAAGAAAAGAAGAGAATGTTTTGAACTACACAATTTTTTTTAAAAAAAAAGAAAGTAATTTTTTTATGTGAGACAATCTAATACTCCTTCCTCCCTAATTGATTCATACAATTTTTTTTGTTGTCCCAACAAAATTATGTGTGCCATATTTCTTTTCTATTTCTCTTCTTTCTTTTAAACAAAATTCAATCATTCATCTTTTTAAAAATGTTTTCTAAATTACTGTAATTTTGAGGAAATTAAACATGTTCTTTTATACCCTGTCAAACAAAAGTCAAAAGTTAGGTGGAAGTAATTTAACATTTAAAGTGAATTTAACAGTTTTCAACTTCTTATAAATAGGCCATTAACTAATTAGTTCCTTGCCCCTCTCTCTTTCCATGGCTTCAAACAAAATTCCGAGCCTACCCCACGGCACAAACTCCGCCCCGGGGAGGCGGCGGATCTTTTTTCTCCGAAGGCGGCGGAAGCTGCCGACGGTGAGGCTCGGAGGAGGAGGAGGAGGGGAGAAAGCGCCTCGGAGGCGGTTTCTGGTGAAGATTTTGAGGAGAGTGAGAGTGAAGTGGGAGTATTGGAGCATGTTGAAGAAGATGAAGGCTTATTGCCGGTCTTTGCTGAGGGACATTTCAGCCGGCGCCGGAGTGGGACCCGTCGATGATTATCAGTATTCTTACCGGCAAATGCTTTTCGTGGAGACCTTTCTCGCCGTTCCGATGATGGCTCTTTGATTAATTAATTGCGTGTGCATTTCTCATTTGTAGTTTTCAGTTCTCACTTGCTTTCTCTAGCCGCTTAAGCTATGTTTGGTTCCGGAAATTTGATAAAGAAAGAAAAAAGAAATAAGAAGGAAAATATTAAGAAAATAAGAAGGCGAAATGTAATTAAAAGAGAGAAAATCAAACTTTTTTCACTTCGGTGAGGAAAATGAGAGAAAAGTATTTTCTTTTTTTTCTTCTGAATTTCTTTTTAGAACTGGTTTTTCTTTTTTTTTTTGACAAATTTCACTCTCACTCAATTTAAGATTAGATCTTACTCTTACCCTCCCATGATGGAGGCGACTCTGAAGAAGATTATGCAAAATCCAATAACTTTTACAATTATTTTAATTAGAAATTTGTATAGAAACAAAAAGTATAAGTTATACTGCATCGTTCAAAACCGTTCAAAAATAAATAAGAGATTTTATAAAATAAAACATAACAAAAGTATTTTATTTTATCAAATTATCGATGAAAATATACAAAGAAACAAAAATTATATATTGAGAGACCGTAATAATAACAGTAATATCCATTTTGGAACGGATCGGTAGTATAATTTGTTTCGATTAGACGATCTTGAGAATGTAATACGAGTAATATATTTCAATTAACATATTGACGTTTTTTATTACTATGCATTTCTAACGGTACAGACTGAAGAACACACTCTTTCCATTTCAATTAGTTTTCTTACTTTAGCTTTCATGGAGATTTAAAAAAAGTTGTTAAGAAAATAAAAAGCGAGTGACTAAAATTCGTTTGGAAAAAGTAATCATTTTACGGTAATATTTAAATCTTACATCATTTTCTAAAAAAAAATCCTAAGAGAAAATTGGAACGATCAATGAATAAAAAAGTGAAAAAAGGGGAGACAGATGAATTTATTTTTTGAAATAAGTAATAAAAAGGCGCCATTTGTATTGTTTTTCTTCTTTTTTTTTTACATAAAATAACATAAATTCCCTCTTTTCACAAAAAAACTTTCTATGCAGTGCTCCATATTTTTTAATGACAAGGATTGATGATTAATAACCGAGTAAAACATTTGTATAACATATTCCGCCCCTAAATAATTTGCACTTTGCACAAAACAAAGTAAATTTCAAAGTTTTTTCAATTGATTACTCATGTACTATATAAATAAAAAAAAATAAAACTCACAAATTTTAAAGGGACATTAAAAATTCTATAAAACAAGAGGTGACAAGAACATTTAATTTCATCAAATAGTCAATGAAAACACACAAACAAATAAAAGTTCGTGCAGTTTTTGAATAATAAAGTGTGTAAATCATTTAAGAACGGAGGGAGACGGCTGGTATGTCCCCGGTGAAATTTATATTTAGATCTACCCATGCAAGTTAAATTTGAAAATGCTATAAATTATTCCGCACTTCTAAAATTATTGAGAAAAAAATGTTCATTTAATCTCACGCTCATTGTTTCATTTATTTTGTTTTGTGAACAAATTAATAAAGAAACACAAAAATGGAAAAAATAATACTCCGTAGTGAATATAAAAATACACTTGGCTCGGTCAAATTGAAGCTCCCCCACACAATGATTCATTCGAAAAATTAATGATTACTACCCGCAATCCCTCCATCCCACCCCAAATACCTAATGGAATATTTCCTCGTTCGAAAATATTTTTCTCGTGTTGACTTGGCACGTTTACTAAGGAGCAGTAAAAAAAGTGTCAAATTTCCAAAAATGCACACACTATAAACTTTTAAATCTTCTTTTCAAGTAGTAAAAATGTAGATTGGTGAAGTTTAAACTGTAACAGCGACGTAGGAGATGTTGTCAAGCGATATTAAGCTGAATTTGACAGAATTTACTTATGAGGGCCACTAGATGATTGAATTCCATGTCTCTTGAAAAACTCTTTGAATCCATAAGCACTGAGATCATAGCTGAACTGTGAAATTTAAAAAAAAAAACAAATCTTCATAATTTTGATAAAGAAATAGAGAGCTCCAAGAAACCAAACCTTTTTCGAGGCGAACGAATAATAAATCGAGCAATAAATCCCTAAAAAGATGGATCATACATGCTTGGAAAGAAAAATTTCAAAAGGTTTCGTCTTCAAACATCATCTCACAGACAAATGTGAGAACAATAATAAACTTAATAGCGTATTTGAGTCCATTCGCGAGTAAGATCATCTTAAACAGACACTAAATTTGATGATCTCTTAAAACTATAATGTTCCAACTCTTTGGGGGTAGTGATGTTGTATTATCATGAATCCCAATAAGCATACCAAACAGTTTCACATAATACAGTTTTAGTGTAGCACAATGTTTTTGGAACCTTGGTTTAATGCTTTATCTACCCTATATAGCAGTATATTGTACACTATCATATTTTCTCTTTAATCTCTCAATTATTCAACAGCTACTTTAGCCAACATCTACCACTAATGGTAAGTGGTAAGAATGCAATACTCCCTCGGCCCGGATTTCGTTGTCCACTTTCTTGTTTTTATTTTTTCAAAATTAGTTGTCCACTTCACATATTCAAATTTCAATAGAGAAATCATGATGAACTGACTAAAACATCACAGAGCGCTATAGACTGTGAACATTGTTGACATGAACCTTTGACATTTTAAACACATTTCTCAAAAATGATTTTTTTAGATGAACTTTACGCCAGGGACTAAGTTTTGAAGCAATAGGTGCCACATTTTTAGCCCATCATCTCATGCATGGCAATAGAACAAAGTATATACGGGCTAAGACTCCTAAGAGCAATCAACTATCAAGAGAGGATAAACTTACAGGTAAGACTTTCACGGAGTATCTTGTAATATTTGGATCAGCAACCTTACCCTCATTAGATGCCTGTCACCAAGGAAAAAAACATCAAATAATAAAATCAACTTAGGATCATACTTTCTCACAAAGAATAACACAATTAAATTCACCGAATAGAAGAAATATCAAGTCTCACAAAGAACAATACAAATCATATTTTCCTAGGATCAAATCAATTTAATTAAAAAATGCAGTGTACTTTTCAGTTTTCACCTGTTTCCAAATACTCCCTACTATTTTGTTTCAATAAGTAACAATTCTAGCATGCGAAAGAAACACCATCCAGTAACCGACAGTTATAGATGTTTTTAGTATAAAGACAATATGACCCACTCACAGAAATCATTGTAGGTAACATCTTGATGTGCCATAGACATGTGTCATGTGTGTTGTGTAAAGAAGGAACTAACTGGAGTAGCTTTTATCACATTCTCACGAAATATATGATGGAGGACATACTTGCTCTGGACTGTGAAATATCTCAATAAAAGGATATTCCTTCTTTTGTCGTGTTATGCAGAATCCAGGGTACTTTGGGCACTCAACCTAAAATCCATCCAAAAATAATGAGAAACCCAGAAGGTATGAAATTCTAGGGCAAGTATTTTAATGTCAATGTTTCAGATATTTGATGTAAGATTGTGAGAAAATGTTTAGATTAGAGGAGTGGGACAGGCCTTAAAAATTATGAGAGATTAATGAGGATAAATGTCAGAAATATATAGAAAACATGAGCCATAGATGCAATTGTTGAAAGTCATCATAGTGAACAAAAAAACAATGTGTCTCCTTGAAGACCAGTGGAAAGATCATGCAAACAAAGGAAATAAATGTCGAATCCAGATGGGTGTAGAGAGAAAGATAGTAAGTTATAGCAGTATTCTAGACATGAGTGGATCTGGTTCCCTGATGTTATAAGCAACCACTTACACGTAAAAACTTTACGTTCGGATAAAATTCTACAGCAGCTTCCTCCAACACTTTGTCAAGATGTCTTGTATAGTTACTCCTATGTTTACACATGCACACAACATAGCAAATCATTCGAATTAATCCTTTACAAATTTAGAATGATGAACTAGAAAGGAGAAGAAAGCCGAATGAAAGAATTGACTTGAAATTACTTTATAGTGAATGCAACAACCACAGGATTTCCTTGATGAAGAAGCTGGACAAATTCACGCTCCGACGTAAAGTGGATAACTTTCGATGGCCCAAGATCCTTTGGGTAGCCAGTGTAGTACCTTTAAGTAGAAAAAACATTATGTTACTTGGGTCTAAGATAGCTTATAATCAATGAGATTAAAGATCATTATAACCGACATAATTCATACGGAGTATTAATTCTTGTCAAGTACACATCTTAGAAGCAAAGTATCTCCACAGACATTGCTTATCACATCAAAACACCTAGCAATAGAAAGCTAATGCAGCCAAGAGTTTGATACCGGAAAAAAAAGAATGACTTTCCACTACGCACATGACATTAAACATGCCTAACCACAAACAAATCATGAATACTATTTAAATTTGAGACATTCTTACTTGCAAGTGGCACGGAGATTTATCATCAATTTACTGAAAAGGGTTTGCTCCTCCATAGCGCTGAAATTACGATGCAAACGAAATAGAAATTAAACGTACGAATAGACGGAACATAACAGGCAGAATAATGCTATCTCCACTCACAAAAAAGCTTTCTTTATATATTCCTTGGGATCGGATGAATATACCACTCTACTTTAACCTGCATAAAACCTATTCGGCTTTGAATAAGAGTGCAAGACTAAAAAATTGCAGAATTGAATAATTAAAACTAAGCAATAGGCCAAAAAGATACTGGGTAAGAGAGATAGCCCTGTCTAGTATAAGGACATTCGAAAGTAACTTAATTTTGTGTGAAGAATTCTATCGAACAGTTGATGGGCACTAGCAGAACTAATCTGATAGGAGTCACAAAACACTAAAAAGCCAAACCCCCAAGGACTGGAACTGGAAAGAAAAAAAATGCTCTAAAACCATTGCAATTTGAAATTGAGGTCTCATTGCTTAGCACATGTTACGTTTAACGCAGTCTGTCCGCCATTAGCTTTCCCAATTAGAAGTAGCAGCAAGAGAATACCTTGTGATCAGCGAAGCGATTCCAGTAATAGAATGTTTATATTCCCTTTTTTTCACTTACTGACTGTTCATCGATTTGTGGAAGGGAATTGGCCAATTGCACAATGCCCTACTGGCGAACTGAAACTTTAGATTTTGTTTCGATATCTTATTGGAAGTGCTACATGTCTATACATATTCTTCTACATACAAACCTGGGGTCGAGTGACATTGGAATCATGGAATGATTACAGGTTCTTCGATGTCTCGTTTGTAAAATTGACAATTCTTACATCCCTTAACCCTCGATAAACACTCCAAGCCACCCCGACCGAACACACCACACCCCCTTCAATTGCACCTCACAAGTTAATTTTGACTAAGAATCAAAATTTGACTCCAAAATCAAAATTAACTTCTGAGAGCAATTGAAGGGGACGAGGGTATGTTCAGTTCGAGGCGGTGTGGGTGGGTTTACTGGGAGTTATGAGAGGTAGAAACTGTCAATTTTACGAACGAAGTACCAGAGCGTCCCCGGATCATCCCATGAATTTTACCGTGCGATGTCATGGGAATCGCTCGGACAAACAAATAGGATCATTTGTAAACTATGTTACTCATATTTTCTAAATATATGTCGCTTCTCGTCCTCGAAACATCTCCACTCCGGTACTTTAAGGCGTTCCCACCCCAATTTATTTATTAACTTAAAAGAATTGGCATTTCACACTTCTAAGGTAAATACTACCTCCATTCTAAAATATTCATCTAGTTTGACATTTTTAGTTAGACTGACGATTTTTGAGTCTTAATTATGTAAAAACTATAAAATGCAGTATAAAAATGATTTTAATACATTTAACTTGTTTAGAACTTTCAAATATTTATTCTATTCTATTAATATGCAATACAAATTGAGAGTACTTGATTATTAAAATTTACCCGGTTTGACTCGAAAAAATTAAATTATACGAATACTCTTGAACGGAGGGAATATATATTTTCTTCGTCCCTAAATCGATTGTGTGTTACACAAACTGAAATAAAATCTTAACCTTTCCAATTTATTTTATTTAAGGATTGACATAAAAATATAAAATAAAACTTACATATTTGAAAAGTATGTATAAAAAAATCTTATAAAATAAGAGATAACAAGAATATATTTTCCATGAAAGAATCAATAAAAAATACATAAATAAACCAAAATTACTGTGATTTTTGAACAATAAAGAATGTAAATAATTGTGGATGAAGAGAGTATTTATTACTACCATCAACATTTATTTATTTTAATTTATTGCAAAAAGTAAATGAAAAATGCTTTAATGTGAGAAATACTCTTAATTAATAATTAATTAATACGAGTAACTATGAGTTGTTTCTAGTACTCCGTATTTAAAATAGTTATGTTGTTTTGTAACAATCATGTTGATTTCATGATTTGTAAAAATTGTGTTGGTCTGTTTTTAATATTTGTTCAAAAATATAATGACTTGAACTATAATTTTCCATAAAAGATCTTGTCTTATAATTAATATCAGATTATTAGTCGAAGCACAAAATTGATTGCTAGTTTATCTTACAAATACCCCTTAAAAAAGCATAGACTTTGTAGGTGGTCAACAACATTGTTACCCCGACCAAGATGGAGGCTCGACAACAACAATGTACAAATATTCTTTACTCACTATAGGGCCGGTCTTGAAGATTCGATGGGATGAGAAGAAAAAATGTGTATTGATCATAATAACATAGATTTTTTAAACTATTTTGCTTGAAATAAAAATTGGTATTGCAGTAATACACATAATAATAATATTGTAGTATTATAATTAAATATCATAATTAAAATTAAGATTTAAAATTTTTATTGAAAAGAAAGTAGGTTGTTTATGAGTCACTTTATTTCGATAATTCGAAGATAAATAAGGAAAGTGGCCATACATAACTGTCCGACACTGACGTGTACTCAAAGTCTCAAACCTTCTTCTTCTTCTTCTCTCTTCTCCCGAGCTGGGTCATCGTCATCGCCCCCATTTCCCAAAATCCATATTTGATTTCGTCCAATTCCTAAACATTTTATATTCCTCTTTATTTGCTTAAAAATCTCGATTTGTCTTCCTCCATTTCAGGCAATTAAAGCTGCATAATTCCATCAGATCTGTACAAGATCGTTGCTTATATCCCGCAACCCACTTTGGATTAGGAGATTTTTTGTTTGTTGGTTTGGTTTAACTATGGAAACGTGTAGTACATAAACATCACAACCCTGGGTTCTTCGTTTCTTGGATTGTGGGAAAGGTCTGGGGTTGCCCAGGCAATTGTTTGATTTTCGTCTGAAAGTTCGAGCACCCATCTGGTGAATCAATGGCGGTTCCGACCATTGCACTGTACGCGAGCTCGGCGAGTAACGTGTGCCCCACGCCGTATTCCTGCCAGATCAACTCGCTCGACTTCGATTTCAGCAGCAGACCATCGCCCTCCGCTTCGCAGAAACCAATCGTTGGCGGGCTGTCGTGTTTGTTCTCCTCGCAGTCGGTGAAGCACGGCTCGTCGTCCTCGGGTTATTCGAGCGGGGCAGAGGATTTGGGATCTCTGCGCCATGATAGAGGCGATGAATTGAGTAGCTCTTTCCAGTGTTCGTCTCTCAGCTCGTCTTTGAAGCAAGATCACGCTTCTCGGAGCCCTATTTCTGTGCTTCAAGGCCCGGGAAGCAGTGTAAGTAGTGGTTTTGGATCATGTTCTCAGAGTCCTTCAAAGAGAATTGCTGGAGATTTCTGCTCGATTCGGTCTGGGAGTGGTAACATGTTTAATAGGTTCGTCCGACACGCTTTGGGCTCGTGCGTGGACTATACACATGACATAGATTCTGCTCCTCCTCAGCATCTAGACGAACTAACGTTTACTATGGACAAGAGTTTTGGGTGTTTCAAGATGGAACCATACGCCGAAGCTTTACTTTTGGATGCACAAAAAAGGCATGAAATATTTCAAGACGATCTTGTTGTCAAAGCTTTCTGCGAGGCCGAGAAAGCTCATAGAGGCCAGGTGTGAGCTTTTGTGTTAGTGCATGTAAATTATACTTTACATATATGTAAAGTATACGAAGTCTTGATATTGATAACTGTGCAGGTGAGGGCTAGTGGAGATCCTTATTTGCAGCATTGCATGGAAACCGGTGTGTTGCTAGCAATGATTGGAGCTAACTCAACAGTTGTTGCTGCAGGTCTTTTACATGACGCACTTGATGATACATTCATGACTTATGACTATATTGTTGGGGTTTTTGGAGCTGGGGTTGCTGATTTGGTTGAAGGGGTATGCAACAAACTCTATGAACTCTGTATTTTGTTTGGGATAATAGAACCTGCATATGGAAATTCTTGTTCTTATCTTCTATTAGAGTTTTAGTAGCAATTAGTCAATGCAACTTTTGTCACTCATCATGGGTCATCTGGAAACAACCGCTCTATGTTTTAAACATAGGGGTCAAACTGCGTACATCCGCCCCCCCACCACCCCGCAATGGGCGGGAGCCATTGAGGCACTGGGGTAATGTTGTTTTTGTTGTTGTTGTTGTTGTATCTTCTATTAGAGTTTAGCAATAGCTAGTTTTGTCTCCAAGCGCCAAAGTTTAGAAATGTGTTGCTCCTTTGAGACTCTCCCTGGCTCTTATATGTTGTTGGGCTTCTTGATTATATTTAAATTCGAAAAGTAGCAACTATTAGTAACAACAACAAAAACGAGTGTGGGTTTGAGGATCAAGATGTACACAGTGTTGGCCATGCATAAAATAGAGAAGTTTTTTGTTAGACTCTTGATGCATTGATGCATTTACTAACCAAAACTGGAGTTCAATGTGCAATCTTTATTTAGTTCATTACTTACCCGAGTGCAAGACATTGTCAATAATGACCCTTTTAGCTTGATTGGTGTTGGAGTTTTTTAGGATATATTTTTTACGGAGTATTTTGAAAGAGTACTCTTCTTTCTGACACACAGGAATTGCTTAGTGTGTAAAAATAATCGTTGATAATATTCTTTTAGTTAATTCATTAGTGTTTTCTTTAGGTGTCAAAGCTTAGTCAATTGAGCAAGCTTGCACGAAAGAATGACACAGCAAATAAAATTGTTGAGGCAGATCGGTTGCACACGATGTTCCTTGCAATGGCAGATGCCAGAGCAGTTCTCATAAAACTAGCTGATCGGCTGCATAATATGATGACCTTGGATGCCCTTACTTTGTTCAAGCAGCAGAGGTTTGCCAAGGAAACATTGGAAATATTTGCCCCATTGGCAAATCGTTTAGGCATCTCTAGTTGGAAGGAGCAGCTTGAGAATCTCTGTTTCAAGTATCTTAATCCGGTTCAACACGGGGAACTGTCCTCAAAAATCGCAAAGACCTTTGATGAGGCCATAGTTATTTCTGCTGTTGAGAAATTGGAACATGCATTGAAGGGTGAAGCCATCTGTTATCATGCTCTCTTAGGAAGGCATAAAAGCTTATACAGCATCCACCGCAAAATGTTAAAGTACACCTCTCTTTCTCATAAACAAGGACACATGATGCATTAATATTTATGCATCCATCCCAAAAACAACTTCAAAAATTACTTTTGTCAAAAACAAAGAGCCATACTTCAACAACAGCTAAAAACTTACAAGTAATTTTCATTTTTCATTGAAGTTAGTTGCAGTTTGGTAGCCACTTTCCGTATGTCATATTAGCCATTTTTAAAACCGAACACTAATTTGTTTGATTTCCCATGCCAGATTGGTTAATAGTAAATAGAAGTTGGGCTTAAGGTACTTTTTGCGACTTTATCAATAAATTTTAAAACCACACTCCTGTAATATGAAAATGTAAGTGGTATGGTTGAGATTTATGTGTAGGAGTGAGAAATAATATGAATCGTATATTCCTTTCATTAAATGTTAAAATAAAATGAAACATAATTTTGGGATGGACAAAAAAAGAAAGTTAAAACATAGTTCTTGACATGGGGAGTAAGTAGGATATTTACAAGAGTTTACCTTACCAAAGTTAAAGTGTTACCTAGATGAAACACTGCTTTCGGGCGTAATTCGTACTCCCTAATATATTGTTTTAAATCTTTATGTATAATATCTTACATTATTCAGAAAAAAGCTCACCGTAGAAGAAATCCATGATATCCGGGGGTTGAGGTTAATTGTTGAGAACGAGGAAGATTGTTACAAAGCTGCTGCGCTTGTCCATCAGCTATGGTGTAAAGTGCCTGGAAAATTCAAAGACTATATTCTACATCCCAAGCTCAATGGGTATGCAATATTCTCTCTTCAAATGTTCTTTCTTTGTACCAAAGGAGGGCCCTATCATTAAGTGATACCAATTTTACATGTGATTTCCAAAAAGTTAGAAATCTGTTACTTAAATATGATCAATTTGACGAACAATGAAATCATAAAAAATATTAGTAGGAGTTAAGGATTTCTAATAGTTGTTTAAAGTTGAACATTGACTGTATTATTAAGATTCTTCTTTTATTCCTTTAAAAATGAAGAAGCTATAGAGCTTATAATTCTAATTGATGCTTAATTTGTTTGTAGGTATCAGTCTCTACACACTGTAGTTTTCGGTGAAGGAATGATGCCATTCGAAGTTCAAATCAGGACGAAGGAGATGCACTTGCAAGCGGAGTGTGGGTTTGCAGCTCATTGGAGATACAAGGAGGGAGGTTGCAAACATTCTTCCTTTGTGCTTCAGATGGTTGAGTGGGCCCGATGGGTTGTGACCTGGCATTGTGAAACGATGGGCTCAAACAACTCTCAACCTATCAAACCACCATGCACGTTTCCTTTACATTCTGAGGGATGTCCATACTCCTGCGTACCCGATTGTGTCCCTGACGGACCTGTTTATGTGATCCTGATTGAGAATGAAAAGGTTTGCCTCTTGACATTTTCAGTCTATTTTGTAACATCTTTTACATTAGTTTACTTGACACTAGAATTAGAATTCAACCTTAATTTCTTGTTTTGCAAGCTTTGTGACATTTAGACCCCGTTTGGCATGGCGTTAAATGATTGAAGACGTTAAATCTGCCAAACTTCATTAGGGTATAGCTTAATTTGTTCAACTATATGAATAGATTCTTTGAAATGTATATTTAAATAAATCAAAGAAAATATCTTCTGAAAAAGTAAAAGTATCAACTTCAGTTATTTCAATCACAAAAGTAACTTGTGTACAACTATTTCTCATCCCATTTAGCCAGACCACTGAAGTAAGTGGCTTTTGTGGGTCATTTTTGTCATACAAGCCTTAATTATCCTTCTAATTGTTGACCAATTAAACACTAATTCATCTATTTGATATGCTCTCTGAATCGGGGTTAATAATGCCAAACATAGTAGGGCTGAAGGTATTTTTCTTTAGCTGAAGTTGCTAAGATGACCGTTTTAGTCAGTTCAAAGTTACAGAGTATTTCCTAGTGAAAACATGGGTTATAAGCCAAACATGAAGCATGCCTTAAGGGCTTTTGATATCAATTATGAGCTGATTTTGTGTAGCAACACTTGTGTTGGCAGATGTCGGTTCAAGAATTTTCTGCAAATTCAACGGTTAAGGATCTGTTGGAGAAAGCTGCTAGGGGGAGCTGTCGATGGATGATCCCCTCTAGTTTCCTGGCAAAGGAAGAGCTAAGGCCGCGGCTAAACCACAAGCCGATCACGGATCCCGCGTGCAAGCTGAGAATGGGGGATGTGATAGAACTAACCCCAGCCATCCCTCATAAATCCCTTGTAGAGTACAGGGACGAGATCAAACGCATGTATGACGGGGCCCCACCAAATGTGGCCACGTCCGGCACAGCCATGGCCGGTTCAAGAAGTTGACGACGGGTTTCTTGCTTTTCCTTCTCTTTTTTTCTCAAAATGTGGAATTGTAGCAAGAACGTCACGTCTTCGTCGTCATCTTGTATGTATATATAAACAGTTAAAAAACAGTTGACCACTTGTATATAAAGTATGGATGTGTTAAAAAGCTAGGAAAAATGCTGAGGTTGGTTTGATATGGAGTACATGTCTTTTCTTTCTTCTTTTTTTCTTCTCTCTCTTCACCACTTCTATATATGCCTCATGCCCATTTAATTCTCAGTTTGACTATTGAGAGATTTAAAAAATATTTTTTAAAAAAAAATGTTGAATAATAAAAACTGAGAATTTAGAATAGAGAAATAGATAATGAGAATAATTTTGGAAGGTTAAAAAAAAGTGAGAATTTTTTTGTGGGTGCTCAAACAAGACAGTTGCTTTCTTGTAGTGTGGTGTAGGACTTTTTAGTGTACAAGAAACGTCTAGTTAGTGGCTATTTCTATATCTTAGGTGAGGTAACTAATTTAGAGAGACCCCTGGGAGCCCACCATTGTTATCACTTAAGGGTATGTATGAATATAGATTATGATTTATGAATGAAGACTTTGCTTTGTAAAAAAATGTAAAATTATCCGACAAAGATGGGAAAGAAAGGTGACACAAGTCATACAACGTGGTTAATCACTACTAAGGGAAGCGAGTTCAAAGGGTGGGGGT